TTTTTTTTTCATGACCAAGAAGTGTTTTTCCATACATATATTTACTCTACAGAACCGTTGTGGTAAAAGCCAAATGAGAAATAGCTTCCTCGTGTGGACGGTATCCAAACTACATTGTGTACGACTTTAATTTTGGAATTTATTTTACTCATCATCAAAGGGGAATTCGGCTCATACTCACACTGCCTTGCTCAAGCGCACCCTGTCATGAAAGAAGTTGACATTTTAACATTTGAGTCTTACTCTCAATGCCCTGATTGTAATGACTGTAACATTATGATGAATATATTTCAAATTTAAAATCACTGAATAAATACATCTGAATCTAAATGCATTCGAAATTTCCATATTGTCTACCGTGGTTTAAAGTGAGTTATTATTTCATGAACATTTGATTAGGAAGCGGTCACATAACCAACACCGTCAATATTCTGACTTATGTGTGCTGTGTTTGTCGGGCGCAGGGAGCCAGTGGACGAGGTCCTGCAGATGCCTCCTTCTCTGCTGATGTGCGGCGGCTGCCAGCAGAGCATCGGCGACCGCTTTTTCCTAAAGGCCATCGAGCAGTACTGGCACGAGGACTGCCTCAGCTGCGACCTGTGTGGCTGCCGCCTCGGAGAGGTTGGCCGCCGCCTGTACTACAAGTTGGGAAGGAAACTGTGTCGTCGAGACTACCTAAGGTTAGGCTGCTTTTATTTGAAACTGTTTTGATTTGTCTAAATAACATGACGTGTTGCCCCGCCTTATCTAATACTGGGACAATGGTGAGTTAGGTTGTAATTACCGTAATAATGGGGGCGGTGCTAAATGTTTATGCAGGATGAACGGCAGCAGAGTGGAGAGTCTGGAAGAAAAAAAAAACAGGCATCCATGAAGACAGCCATCAAGACAATTTCAATGTGTTTTTGTGTTTTCACTTGTGGATGCAGTCCTGATTATACCCCACAATTAGTGTGGAGATCAGTGCATGTGGCACATGCAGCGCACCTATCGGCAAAGAAAATACTCCCGTTTCAATAACTTCACCAAGCAATCTAGTAAATGCTGTTCAATTAAAAACAAGATTAGCTAATGCTAATATGTGCATTTCCCACCCGAAACCCAATCCAGCTCTTTTTACCTTTGGTTTTGACATTGTGCTTCAGAGATCGCCTCCCCCTTCAAAGTGGCATATCAAGGGTGGAGAAATTCAGTGTGGGGTGGATATGATGTGAATTTGCCTTGTTGTGATTAGTATTCTGAATAGCTAGCTCACAGATGCTGATTGTGGGAAGAAAAAAGGCATCTGACGAGAGGTATGCAGTGGACCCCTGCACACTTGGGGTTCGGCACTCGCTGTTTCGCATCTTCTCAGATTATTTTTCATATTTTCATTTTGAATCCACCCCATTTCACCTTCGTTTTTCATGGGAAATGTTAAATATATGTCAGCAGTTTTAGAATTTGGCCCCCGGTCTTTAAACTGTTATTATTGAAGAAAAATAATTAATATGCAAAACGGAACAGTGGATCTACAAGTTCCTGACGTTGTGAACGTGCCATGAATGCACCATGTAGCTTGCGTGTCAAGTGTGTAATGTGAATCGGCCGTCTCTGAGCGTCCTTTAGGCTGTTCAAAAACACCCAGTTGGAAGTTACTGGAAAATTCAACACAAAACCAAAAGAAAACTACATGCAGAACCTTTATGCTGTAATTGCTCATCTCGCTTTCAAGTAACCTTTTGTAATATTTCACATCTTTCTCCACCAAGGCTTTTTGGACAGGATGGCCTCTGTGCTTCCTGTGAGAAGAGAATCCGAGCATTCGAGATGACCATGCGTGTGCGGGACAAAGTCTATCACCTGGAATGTTTCAAGTGCGCTGCCTGCCAGAAGCACTTCTGCGTTGGCGACCGCTACCTGCTCATCAACTCAGATATTGTCTGCGAACAGGACATCTATGAGTGGACCAAACTCAACAATAACAGTATGGTATAGAGCAACATGGACATTTTGGGTCTTCTGGGCTTTTTAAATCGCTGCTTTTGCAGAGGAACAATGAATAATAAACACAGACTTTTTCCCAGCATCACGCACGCTTGGAAGTGCCTGGCCACTTCATGTGGAAACTGTTTTACACAAAAGTGGAGGAGGCTCATCATTTCTGCACTGTAACAGGCAGCTTTTCATCTCAGGCCTCACAAATGCAAAACAATCGGAATTAACATGCAATAACAGGTATTTGTCCATCTAAAGGGACTTTTGTCAAATGGAGCAAAATCACAGCAACCTTTGCAGCTGAAAACTGTTTCATTTGCCTTTACCATGTTTGGACAAAATGACATACATTTTCAATTGTAGATTTTGTACTACATCATGATAAAGTTCCTTAAAAAAATTACATTAAATACGTATTTTAACAGAGCAGGGATGTCCAATCTACAGCCTTAGGGGCCACCCCCACCCCCTCCCACACATACATACATATCTATCTATATCTACATATTTCTACATCTCTCTCTCTCTCTCTCTCTCTCTCTCT